TTGAACAGACTGATATTCAGTTGTTTTTTAAGTAGACAATGTATTATTGAGTTATATACTACAAATAAGGAAATTTTATTACTTTACTTAAGCTACTATTAACAAGCATAACCTCTTATTAAGTATGGCCTCACTTGTCCACAGTAGGTCATGCTTAATGACAGGTTTCACTGTAGTTCAAAGTATGGTCTTATACTACTCATTAAGAAGTATTTTTTAATGATTTTTATTTGAGTCTGTTGTGAGTCAATAATTGTGTGGAAAATGGCTATTTTGGTACTTTTGGGGGCTTTCTCTCAATTTTTAATATTTTTGCTTGAGCCCTAGAGCATTTTATTTGTATGAATACAAGCTAAATATACTAATTTACAGAACTGTAAAATGTTGTGGTTTATAGGAGATATGAATTTTTTACCTTGTTGTAATATTTTTTTTACATACTGTACAAGTTACTATATTGGGCAAGAAATGGATTAGCTGTATTGTAAAATGAGTACTCATTTCCTTACAGTCCTAACACAAACCCTCCTACTCTACTACTTATATTGCCTCTCCTTTATTGTCCTCCTTTTTTATACTTGTCTTTCCTTTTTGTATTCACATTTGTACATTTGTATTGTTAACTAATACTGAACAACTTTTTCAATATTCTATACACTTGTATACTTCTTCCTACTTTACAGTGTAAGTAACAATTAACAAGAACAAGTCTGTAGTAATACTTATGTACATTTATTCCTATTGTGCTACCCTTATGTGTGTCCTCCTTCCCTACCTGTTCAATACTTAACATTACTCTTAATACACCTACACTACATTATATTTACATTCCTTTGTATTAAGTATGTTAATATATTAAACAGAAGTAGTAGTCTACTACTCATATCTGTCTAAGTTGAGTCTGTACACACTTTCTACTTTACCTTCTACCTTTGAGTCAGAATGTCTCAGATTTGTAATCATTCATAATAACTCAGTTTACTATACCTCTGATTGTAAAACATAGTCAGAGTATACAACATACACATTCAGACATAGCTTTGCTTACAGCTCAAATCAACTTGTTTAACACTCTAAATCTTAACACTAGTGTACTACTCACACTTACTATACACTGTTTATAGTGTATCCATCTCCTTAATCTAGCTACCTACTCATACTAATACTAATACTAACACTTATACTCACACTCTTAGCTAGTCAATCTTACAACCTGTTTCACAAGTACAACCTAACCTTTACAACCTGTACAATCTCACAACTGACAGGCACACACTATTCAACTATTCAACTTGTAAAGACTGAGTAACAACTAAAACATAGTAACAAAGACTATATTAAACAACCTAAGAATGTATTCATCCTCTTCTGTCATAAATACTGTTAGAAAAAGAATGAGGTAGGAGCAGCTTGTTACACTATACTACAAGTATTGTAAGTGTCTCTTTACTAGTATCTACTACCAATTCTAATAACTATAGTGAATTTGACTTACTTTCTACAGGTAGCTTACTGTATAGTAGCCTATTCAGATGTTTGTACACAATGTGAGTAGTGTACAGGAATAGAGATAGTAGACTTTACTGATTTTAAGATGGGTGATACAGAGTGCTTGTAAGGGCAGGGTTAACTACAGACACTGTTATTACTACTAAGCCTCTTAATTCTCTTATAGTCAACCAGTCTACTAAGTGTACTACTATTACTATGTATGTGTTCTCAGATTATTTTCCTCCTTAATTATTGTAGATAATAATGAATTGTATAAGTGTTCTAGCCCTTACACATCTTACCTAGTGTAGGATTTAGAATACATAATAACTATGTGTAAAGAGATATACAAAACCTTCTTAACAGACATAACTTTACTACCAAATAGCTTTGTAGTGTTCAATTCATTAATAACAGCTTCTACCTCTTTAGGAGTCTCTATAGTCACAAAGGCAAAGTTATAAGAATCCTTAGTATGTAGGTTATACATAATTAAAACTTTTTACACTTGAAAGAGGGGAAGGTTATAAACAGTTGAGTCCCTACTTTGTAAGATAAATACACACACAACCAACTTTGATAAAGACTGTCTTGAGAGCTTCATCATTAACATCTGTTAGACAGTCTAGACACATACAGATTGTTACCTTGATTAGAACTCTCCCTTCTTAGCCTGAACTAATTACACATGAGTATTCTTAACATACAATTTAAAAATACCTTACTCTTTATCATCTCTAGTATCTCTACAGTCCATGCCTCAGTCCCTAGTAGTAGGGCTCCTACTCCTAGAGTAGTAAGGCAGGGTACTGTCTTTAGGTACAGAAAAAGGGTCAGGAACAGATAGCTAACTATTATTGTTTATTGTACCTAAACTATCACTATTTACTATAGTAGCCTTCTAAGTAGAGATACTAATAACACTGAGTGTGTTATAAGGTGCTAGCTATCTTAGTAAAGGACAGGATAGGTAGTCAGAATAGAAACTTGGAGAAGGGTAAAACAAGCTGTGTAAGACAGAGTTAGTAAGTATTGTACAATAGGTAGGGACAAAGAGTAATAGTAAACATGAGAATTAGAAGATAAGAGCTGAAGATACATTCACATTCAGAAGAGTATAAAGGATGGAACAATACATAGTATTAAATGGTGGAAAGGTTTAGCTAGGTTTATGTTGAGACATCTTTAAATACTTAAACTACTATTATTTAACTATTTCTGTTCTTCAATATGATTTTTACATAAACAACCAGCCTCAATCCTATTACTGGCTGTCAGCTAAATACAGGTGGATACAAAAAGAAAACTAGGCTGTTGTTACTACTACTACTACTTAAGACATAGGTCTGCCTTAAAACTGGGACAAAACAGAAGGATAGTGAATATAGTGTCATACACACACAACATGTATGTTCTGATACATTCTGATCAGAAGGGCTCAGTCGCATCAAAGTCGCATCATCCTCATGTCAGCAATCCTTCGATTACGTCATCATTGCCCACACAATAGTCTTGGTTACTCAACTCAGACTAGTTGGGTTCCAGACTCTAGTTCCAATTCACAAAGGCAAGACTCTGAGCCTTCAGACAGCTGGTTGATTGATACAAAGGGGACTTGGATCCAGAGTCCTGGATGGGTTGATACAAAGGAGACAGTGGTGGATTTGTTCACAAAGGACTAGTAGCTACAAAGGACTCATAATTTCTATAAATACCCTCATGTAATTCATACTTTCCAGCAATCAAGTTACTCTCTACTGTGACTCTTAGTGTGTAGTTTGACAGTCTCCTCAGTAAACATTCCATCTTGCCTTGTCTTGTCTTGTATTGCCTTGTTCTGAAGTGCAGCTTTGTTGTTCCACACTACTCTTGTCTTGTTAATTGTCACCTTTAGAACTTGTACATTCTGCTCAGATCTACCTATTCCTTCTCACTCTTGACCCCTCTCAGTGTCTGTACCTTGCAGACTCAACTGACCTCTTCTACCTCAACTGGTACTTGAGATCAACAATAGCTAACAAGTTAAAGAAATACATACTAATAGTAGGTGCTGGGTGCTAGAAGGACATACTGTCATCCATGTCAAGTGTTGTAGTTGCTAGAGCTGGATAAGATGGTTATAGTAGTGTAAGGTGGATTGTAGTAGCTTACTAACTAAAGAATTGCAACTCTGTAACTTGAAAGATGAATGTTCCTGTTATTTGAATAATAATTGGATACAAAGAAAAATAATACCTATTAAGAGATATACAGCTTTGTATAGATAACTATTCTACTACTAGAATGTACTATTATACTACAGTTCTACTATACTATCAAGTAATATATAATACTATATAATTATACAATTATAATACTATTCATTATAACCTTATACAATATTATATAGTACTATAGTCTTATACAGCTACTGTACTATTGATTATACAGCTATTTGAAATTATATAGTATTATAGTCTTATACAGCTACTATACTATTGATTATACAGCTATTTGAAATTATATAGTATTATAGTCTATACAGTTACTATACTATTAATAATACAGTTATTTAATATTATACACAACTTTAAGTTACTATATATAAATATGGTTTTTTTGGTTTTCCTGATGAAAAACAGTTAAAATCTATGTATTTCAGTTTTCACAAGACAAGAAAAAGAGATAATTGAAAACTAATTTGATAAATACATTCTACTATTAGAAACATGAATTTAGCAACGTATTTGAAGTAATTCTATCAAGGTTTGAGTGAGTTATAGTACTTTTCTGTATTTTGCAACTTTGTGAAAAAAAATCACATAAACTATACTATAGCCAATATTTTTGCAAACAGCTGTAACAATTTTCTTTTTGTCAATATAATATTAGATTTGTATCTATGAGTGTATTACTGTACAGTAAAACCTCTCATTAAGTATTACCCTTAGTAGACATAAAACATAATACTTATTAAGAGGTTATACTTGTTAACAAGTAAAATTCTAGTGTTTACAAGGGTAGTGGTAGACTTGAAATGTTATACTTAATAAGAGGTTTCACTGTATATAACTGTATACAGTATACACTGTAGCTGTACTTGTGCTCTTGAACTCAAAAAACAGTTGTATTTTTACAACCATACCCTGTACAGACCTGTACAGAGTACAGTTATACTTGTATACAGTGTGCTCAGATCTCTACTGTCTTTACCTAAATACCAACATATTATTAGACATGATTCATGAAGGCAGAGAAATGAAGTCAGTTATTAGATTGTAATTGTCTGTCCACTATCCTTTACTGACAAGGAATATTCAAAGGGTATTTTGCATTTTGCTTTGCTTTCTCTTTCAATAACACAAGAATGTACTAATTGGAGGTCCAGCACCTCAGAATAGAAAATAACAACTCTTACTTCATAGATTGCTGGGAGTCTATCGGAAATTCGTGATCTTGAGCATTCATTCAAATGCTGAACCATATATTACATTTTCCTATTCAGGCACACTTGTTTATGTTGGTAAGTACTACTCATGACAAAGCTCTTTCCAAATATAATCTGTCTTCCCTTTAACCTCCGCTATTCCGACTCTCCAATTTTCTATATCAGCAATGAGGTAATATCTCCACACTAAATAGATGTTGTTTCAGACAAGCCAGAGACAGTAATACTGATATTACTTACTCCACGAAAGACCTAAGACTATATAATCAAATGCAGTCTCATAAAAGTCAGCTTGTAAGATGAGATACAAGCGTTCTTCTGTTATGTTTGGCACCCATCGTTTTAATCTACTGGATGGTATGAACAGTATATGCTTTGGAAGCGTTTTATTCCGTCCGTCAAAATTCAGCTCTGCATCCTTGAGTCTGTCATAGTTTTCCTTTGATATATGATACAATGCGAAATTAGCGTCGTATTCAAATTTTATTTTGTTGTTCGACATCGATTCTACTGTCTTGATGTAATTTTCCAAAATATGCTTTGGAAGTGTTATGAACGGTGAGCCAGTATCCGTAAATGTTGGATACATCCTTGATGTGATGGGTCGTGTCTGATATGAGATACCCATATCGAAGGAAAGAGGATTGTCATAGTTCCAGTTGCCCTTTGGAATCCATGTGACTTCACTTGATTGTGTGTATCCGCCAATGTGTACTTCACTCACTACTTTATCCTTGTTGTTTAAGGGAATCTTCAGGTTTAGACCAATTGTACTATGGTTTCCTCCTTGTTTTTGCATTAAATTGTCGAGAACGGATACAACCTTGTAGTCCTTGTCACCTATGACACATTTGTCCATTGTTCTTCCGAATCCTATGATCCCTTCAAAGTATATTTCAAGGGAAGTACGTAACTTCTTGTATTCGTGCTTATCAAGGAGTGCAAATTCTTGATCTTCGATTGTCATATTGCCAATTGTAAAAGTGTTCCTTTGAAGTTTCCCTTTAATTCCTTCAATGCAAGAATACTCTATAGATACCTCCTTGCAACAGTCCGTGCCTTGGCTTGCTCCTTTAGCTGTGCAAATCTTTTCGTAGATTTCTTCGCTTATGCACGTCATTGAGGAACCAGAATCAAACAACAACGTTGCTGGATCCGATTTCGGATTTGTTCCGAATCGTACGTTAACCCATGCACGAGTGTAATTGTTGAATACGCAAAGTGTCATGAGAGTTGTGGCGGATGGTTGCGGCTTGCCAGCTGTTGATGACTTGTGCGCGGGTTGTCTGTGCTTGAAGATTTTCATCAGCTCACTGAGTCGACGTTTAGTCTGCTTCCTCCCGTCCACGTTCGGAGGATTTCCTAGCTCCAAGTGCAGTGTGATAAATGACTTTGGCGCTTGTGTTGCATTACCTGCATTTGTTGATGTAGCCAGTGTTGAACTCGATCTTCTTTTTGCAGATGAATGATGACTTGAGTTTGACCTTGTTTTTCCATAACGTGACATGTTTCTTGAGTATTGTAACAGCCAGAAGCACGAGTTTCATAAGAAAGATTACCTTCGAGTTGCCGTCACACAGAAAGTGACGGTAGTATAAATATGATTAGAATTCGGTTGTTGCAGGGTAATTGACTGTGGCGTTCCTTATCATTTTTCTCCATTCGGTTACGATATATAACGTAAATATGAGCACTCTACTAAAAGTAAATACAATCAATATAGTACCTTTGCTAGTGTGCAAGTGATCAACTGTGGAGTGTACTTACCAGGTACGGATGGAAGAAAGCCAAGGCGGAGTCGATGAACAAGGAAGTCGACCAATATAGAGAGAGATAAGATGGTGAATGTCCAGTTCTCTCACATTACCCTCAGTAGTAAACTATCATTGCGAAATATCGTCTTGCGAGTGCCAGTATAATCGGCACTGTAGTCGGGGACGAGTCCGAAATTCACGGGAAATTTTTGATGTCACGTGATGTCATAGCTTTGCTTTCTTCAACAGTGCAACGGGTATCTCGTGCCACGACAACAATCTTTGACACATGCGTCTACAACGTTGATATCTCTCAGACGATAGTCGAAAAGGTGAAATAATCACCATAACGACGGGGACAGTATACTAGCCACCGATACAGCCCTTTGCAGCGCAAGGTCGTATGAACATTTCATGCTACACCCATTTTTTGTCGACCCACGGAGCGCTTGTATAAGTTGTATTCCTCTACTAATGTAATTGATACCAGAACATGACCCGCCAGTATATTACCATACCTTGACAACTCTCCAGTCTTTTTACTGTATTGACAGTTGTGTTCTAGAATAAATTTATTTGCTCTGTCAAAAGTTATTATATTCGAATTTGTGACATACCCTTTATATGCTGCACAGATGTTTCTAATCATTATTGTAGGTAGTGAACTAATTGTCAATCACAGACATTAGCTGGTGCAGTTCTTCCAAAATACGTTCCCGAAGATGACCATTATTAATATCATCTAGACTTGCCCCCAATTGGTGACTACTGTTGCAGCACCTCATGTAGGCCATTTAAGGCCATTTCTCATATTATTATCTACTACAACTGTTTTACAACATAAAAAAAATATAATCATATATTACAACATCTTATCTAAAAAAAGTTGGTTTTAATTTTGTAAAAAATAAAAAAATAAAAATTTTATTGATTTTATAAAATGACAATTCAAAAGTTGTGCTTCAACGTGTCAGACCCACATGTGGGCCACCTGTGGGAAAGACATTTTCCCAGCATATCTAAGTGCATGTTTGTAAGGATTTGATTTACTGGTTTGTATTTTGTTATTACTACATTGCTGATTGTGTCAGATTATTGTACAGTAGGACTCACAAGTGTATATATTCTCATTGTAGTTAGTTACACTTTCTCCTCATGTATCTACATGTGTATACCCCTATAAAAGACAGTATCAACTGCTGGGTAAAGGGTATTCTTTTCCCCTAACCCCTTGCTTGAGTACTAGGTTATCCCAGTCAGTAGTTGAGTGAACTAAGGGTGATTAGAATTCTCTTATGAGAAACAGTGAGTTTCCTTACATATTTTTGACTGTACCCACCTAGCATTGAAACCTCTTGCTGGACACTGAGGAACTGAAGGGTCTGATCAACCCTAGGTCTCCCTCATTGTCTAGTACCCATCAGGAATTTTTAGTGAGTAAAGTTACAATTTTTGAGTAGAAACAGAGACTACTTACTAGATTGGCCCCTAGTAGGTTCACAATGCTTCAGAATGCTGTAGAATGCTTCTGGAACACATTAGAACATATTAATATGGACCAGCACTGGATATGCTAGAGGTTTGCATTAATTGGATAGGTTGAGGACCAGGCATCTGTGACAGTAAAAAGGAATAAACAGGTGTGTATCAAGTTTACAGACAATGGACAACAAGATTACCTATTGGTTATTGATTACAATGTGGCTGCCAAGCCTTGACAGACAATTCCTGGAGGTACCCAAGTCTGGATATTAATACTAACATGCTAGGAAGTAAGTCCTCATCCCTTGTAGGTTGAAGGCAACCTGATAAACTTATTCTAGGTAATAAGTCCTTGTCTACACAAGGCTGGAGGCACCCTGATGAACTAGTACATACTAATAATGTAGAATTAAGGTATGTAACTGTACCAGTGTATATAGTTAGTCAAATGTGTACTGTAGAGTAGAAACTAGTGAGTACTCACACTACTAGGCTTGTAGGAATAGTAAATAGTGGTACAGAGAGCAGAAACACTCAGACAATTGTTCTTAAGGATTCAGACAGTTGAGTTTAGGATGAACAGGTGATTGGATTCAAGGATTCATCTAATTGAGTACAGAAGGTTGGATTTAAGGATTCAACTGACTGAGTACAGGTGATTAAGCTTGAGGATTTGCTTGATTGATTTCAGGCTACCAAGTTTGAGGATTCACTTGATAGAGGACAGGTGATTTGGTTTGAGGATTCACCAAGTCAATATAGAGAGCTAACAGCAAGTATTAAGGAATTTGCAAGCTAGTACAAGAGTTATAGAGTGTATATAGTTAGTATTAGTAAGAGTGTGGATAAGTATCTAGTGAGTGTACTTACTTCAGAACAGAAACACATTGACAACAGTAATGTAGAAGGCAATGAGACACTTTAGACCCTTTTAGACAGTGAAGAAAGTAGCCAGGACTTGAAGAACAAGAGTAACAGACAAGGCTAGGAGAGCCAGGCATTAAAACTACAGAGAATTGATAAGGAACAAGATTTCTAGAAGGCAAGTAAGACCTTCAGACACATTACAAGAGCTAGAGCAATTAAGATAGACATAGGACATGTCAGCCCATTCTACAGATCAATAGACATTGAAGATTTGAATAAGAGAGCATACAAGTTTGATAGAATGTATCAGGAAGAGGAGAAAGCAACTCCTTCATCAAACAAGAGTGGACTCAATAGTATAGTAACAGAAAAGTGTAAAATGCTTCAGACAGGCTACAGAACAAAAGCCAGACATACTACAGTACCTACAGACAGTAGAGATCAGAACTATCAATCTAAGAGTGTAGAAGAAACACTCAAGAGTCTAGACAAACTATTGTATTTGTAGAAAGCAAAAGGAAAGTGTAAAGTAAAAGGAAAACACAAAGTACAAGGAACAGAACAAAAACTGGAACTGTCAGGCATTCAATATGATTGTGAAATCGATTCAGACTATCTAAGCAAAACAGACATTGTATCAACAGAACAGTACTTTAAGGATAGTAAAAGTGAACACAAATTGGAACTACAAGGATCAGTACTTGATCTAGAGGGTGAAAATCAAGCATACACCTACAAAATCAAGTGTTTAACCTTATACATGGCAGATATTAACTACACATTACACAGGAGCAATGTACAGGAGTACTACAATAGATACAACACTTTAGCCAGGTCTAGGAATAAGAGAGAAAGTAAAATACCTGGATATATACAGTCTTAAATAGAAATACCAAGTTTTTCAGGACATCAGAGTACCCCTTACAAAAATAAAAGGAACAAACAATCTCATAGTAATACTTTACAATTGAAAGCAGTCCCAGGCAAGGCAAACACTAGTAGTATTAGTGAGAACAATATTGATTCAGAGTGTAGCAAACTATACAGTTCAAAGCTACATATTAAGTGTAGCAAGTATAAGAATAGCTTGAACAGTAGTTCAAGAACAAACAATGGACACAAGTATAGCAAAGTACTGAATAATGTTCAGAAAGGTAGATTTGTATCAGCAAGACCTTTAGAGAGTCTAGCAAAGAATAACTATGTATACAGAGCAATACAGAGCTCTTGTTAGGAATTGTAAAATACAGTAACTAAGTTTGGAAAAGCTTAACTCAAGACTTGGGACTGAGTAGTTTATATACAAAACCCTATTGGTCACAAGTCTAGAGATTGGCCAGATCAACTAGGCTACCTTTGTTGTCCTGCTTAGTAAGAACTCCAGCTCAGCATTATTAACCTCTAATCATTACTAATGGGTGATCAATCCATCAGCAGAGAGAGGGGACAGGAAGGAGTAGGTACCAAGTCAGTTAGGAAAAGGTAACAAAACCTGAGGACAAGGTCTTTATCTCTCCAAGGTTAAACACATACTCTAGCACAGCATTACTTGATAACCTCAACCAAAGACAAGGCATTTAGAATGCTTGTATGGAGAGGGGATCTGGAAAGAGTATAGTGTCCAGAGCAAGAAGTATAAAGGAAAAGACCAGGAGAAAACCTGAAGAGATAAAAGGAAAATATTATACTTACTTACTACATAGCTAGCTAGGAACACTTTGTACAAAGACAAAGGACCATTAAAGCTAGGAAAGAGCCAGAGCCAATACTCTGTAGCTCTATGCTTGAGGAGGACTAGTACTAGTGAAGGAAAGGGAACTGAGAGCTCTAAGGAGAGACTACAGGAAAGTAGTCTCCTTTATACACTTTGCCCATATAGATGGGAAAGTAATGAAGTCATAAACATGAGGACTACATGAGGACAACATGAGGAATACATGAGGCAATCTAGAACTTTGGTTGTAAGTTCTATGATTGAATACAGAAGCATAAAGATAAGGCTAGAAGTTAATAAGGATAATTGTCTCCTAAACTAAGTCTATTGAAGAAGACTTAGGGAAAGATCTAGAACATTAGTTGTCAGTTCTAGGGTGTACACAAGGCAGTCTAGAACTTTGGTTGTAAGTTCTAGGGGCAGTACAGAAGCACAGCCTTTTATATTACAGAAGTCATAAGGAGTCATTAGAAGTCATAATACTCCACCTCATGAGAAAAGTGTATTACAAACCAGTGTACAGGAAGTACAGGTCGAGTCAGACAGAGTCATAGGAACAATAGAGAGCTCCACTCCATGAGAAAAGCATTACACAGCTTACACAGCATAACTAGTCAGGAGGACTCATAAGGAGTCATTAGAAGTATGAGAGGAAGTATAGAAGACATAACAATACAGTAAAGGAGTCATTAGAAGATTAATCTAGGATACAAGAAGACACAAACTAGTG